GGCTGGGGGCTGCTTCTCTGCTGTCCTGTACCTTTTTTAACCAAAATAAAGATTTCCCTCTTCTTGCCATATCTTTGGCTGTCTGGTGCCACCCTCTTTGGGGGTTTCGGGGTGGGGCCTGTGATGAGTGTGCAGGAGAACCACTGCTTACAGCTGCCAGCTTTGTTCCAGCTGGTCAGTGCTGTTTGGAGATTTTTAAAAGGCACGGCATCCCTGCTGGGTAGCTCAGTTGGTGGGAATGTTGTCCCGAAGATGCCAAGGTTGCGGGTTCCATCCCCAGTCGGGGCACATACAAGAGTCAACCAATGAATGGATGGATGGGTGAACAACAAATTAATGTTTCTTGCTCTCTCTCCTAAAAAATAAATTAAAAAAAAAAAAGACATAACAAAGCCAAAAGTGACACAGGGAGAATGACCAGCATCCTCTTCACTGTGCCCCTCCAGAACTGGTCTCAGCTCCAGAGACCTTTTAGCCTTTGATCTCTGAACTCTGAAAGGTCCCAGCCTTGTCTGGGACAGAGGGTTTGACTCAGTCTGGGACTGTCACACCCCTGAACTGAGCTTAGCCCGGGGTAACACTCTCATGGAGCCTTCTCTCTCCCAGATGCTTTCCTACATCAAAATACTCACACAGTATGCTAGGAGCTAAATAATAGTAATAATAATAATAACTACAGTGGCCATTTAGCAAGGACTTGCCAAGTGCCAGGCCCATTTTCTCACCTAAACCTATGAGGAAAGTGCTGTCAGCCTTTACAGATGAGGGAACTGAGGCTCAAGGAAGGCATAGGAGTTGCTCAGGGTCTCCCAGCATATAAAAGCAGCAAATTCAGTATTTGAACCTGATCTCTGCCCTTACCTCTAACCCTTCTGCACTACCCAAAGAATGACTACTGCTGCTTCAGAAGAAGGGAATCTCAAGAGGAGAAACTCTAAAATTAGAGAATGTCATTCATAGCCAGCAGGGGGCTTAGAGAAGACCTGTGAGGCCTTCTTGAACCTATGGGGAAACAGGCCCAGAGGAAGGAACCTGCCCAAGGCTTTATAACTGAGCTGGAATGCAGTCCCACACCTTGAACTCATTCCATTTTTCCCCAAAAAAAATTCCACACCACGTTAGACTGGAGTGGTCTAGGAAATGTGGGATACTCTAAACAGCAGTATCTTATGGAAGAAAAGTCTCAGGACAGCTTACTCACTTAAAAGTAATCTAATCCACCCCACCCTCCCCCCCCCACCACCACCAAAGGCAACTAGTAGAGTGAGCTCTTGACTGAATAACTAAACTCTAGTTTATAATTAGGGGGAGAGGATGATCACCTCTTTAGTTTGATCATTCTAAAACCGGAAAAATGTCCTAGGAAGTTCTTCCTGGAATCTTAACAGTCCTTCCTGCTGCATCAGAGCCCTGTCCTCTGTTCTCAGTAGAGATAGACAACTAGTTGCTACCTTCTTCTCTCTGCTACAACCCTCAAAAGCCTATTTACCAGCTAAGGATTGGTTGTCTCTGGGACCAGAGGCCTTAAGCATGCTGGTAGGATGGATGTTATACAGAAGGGAGGGAGGTAGGCAAGATGAGGAAAGCCCCTTTGGGCTGCAGCCCCAGCTCTTGTCCTGCTGACTCAGGCGGCTGACTGTGGAACTCAGTGCCCTGCCGGGGCCTGCTGCCTCCTGTCTGCTGCCTCCTGCCTGCCTGGGCTTCTGGACTTGGGAAATGGAAGCCTGGAGGCAAAGGGAGGTGCATCAGACAGGATCTGAGTCAGGATATCAGGATCTCAGAATCGACAGGCCAGAGCCAGCAGGAGATGTCAGGCAGCCTGGCTCCCAGATTCAGCAGGGAAAGGGGAGGGAGGGGCTTCCTTTCTCTTACCCAGGGTCTGGGCCGAGGGCATGCCACTAGGTCTCCAGGTCTGAGTGATGGAAAAGAGAATACTCCCTCTCTAGAGACTGAAATAGCTCCAAAATTGCCAGGTCCCAAGTTTATGTTGTTCTGGGACCGCCAGCTTTCCCTCACGACTTGGAAAGCCTGGGCTGGGTGACTAATCAAAAGAAGGTCCTCGAGGGCCCAGGGTTTTCATAGGCCAGAGGAATGTCTAAGATGGAGAAGGAGGAGGCAGTGTTGAATGAACATATCTGACCATTCATCTGTCTTCCTTCCCATGTGGACACCTAGCTGGGCAGGCTCTGGTCTTTGGCTGAGGCCTGGTAAGGGGCTCTTCCTCATTTCATAGGCTTCAGATCCATGTTCATGCTGTGAGTGTATATTTTTATAATAACAGTTAGCCAAAATCGGTTTGGCTCAGTGGATAGAGTGTCGACCTGCGGACTCAAAGATCCCAGGTTCGATTCTGGTCAAGGACATGTACCTTGGTTGCAGGCACATCCCCAATAGGGGGTGTGTAAGAGGCAGCTGATCGATGATTCTCTCTCATTGATATTTCTAACTCTCTATCCCTCTCTCTTTCTCTCTGTAAAAAAAAAAAAAAAGAAAAAAAAAAAGAAAATCAATAAAATATATTTTAAAAAATTTTTTAAAATATATTTTATTGATTTTATACAGAGAGGAAGGGAGAGAGAGAGTTAGAAACATCGATGTGGGAGAGTCATCAATCACTGCCTCTTGCACACCCCCTACTGGGGATATGCCCGCAACCAAGGTACATGCCCTTGACCGGAATCGAACCCGGGTCCCTTGAGTCCCCAAGCCGACACTCTATCCATTGAGCCAAACCGGTTTCAGCTTAAAAATGTTTTTTAAAAATAATAATAAAGTTGGATTTTTTCCTACATGATAATAATAGTTTCCATCCACCACTCAAGTAAGTACTTTCCATTAACTCATTTAATCCTCACAACGCCATTTTATACTTAGGAACACTGAGGCACACAGAGGTTATTAAATCATTTGGCAAAGGCCACAACAGCTTGTAAGAACTGAACCTGGCTGATCTGATTTCAAATATATTCTCTATTTTATCTCTCAGAAAATAATACACATTCATGATTGATTTGAGTAGAATAGGAAAAGGAAAAAAGTCAGTTTCACTCCCTAAAGACACCCTCAGTAAGTTGTATTTTAGTGTACTAGTATTTCCTTTCCATCATTTCCTGTCTGGATTGAGCTAAACCCTCAAGATATTAAGCCTAAAATCCCTTCTGCTTCTTTGGAAAACCTATAGCATTAGCCCAGATATGTCCCTGTTTTTCCTTCTAAAGGGCAGATCTCATCTTGAAGCCTCAGAGTTCTAGGTTCCCTCCCTCCAGAAGGGGGGATGGGTGTTCAGACACCAAGAACAACCCACAGAAGGACCGGCCTGTGAAATGGTCCTGGCTCCAGGGTTAAGCTGGCTAGATCCCAGTGAGGGGAGCCCCACCCCTGAGCCCCATCTGAGCTATAGCTAGGGGTGGGGCAGATAAGCAGGAACCCACCTTCATGGGCACAGTGCCAACACCTTTAGATGAAAGAAACCCTTGACTGACACTAGGGCAGCTAACAACAATAGTTGCCACCCAGCTAAGAGGGACAGAAGGTTGGCAACAGAGACCTCTCCATCCATGCCAGAGGTCAGAGATGGGGCCATGGTCAAAGGGAAGGGGCAGGAAAACTCCTGAGAGTCAGGCTTTGGGAGGCAGTCCTCAGCTGGCACTACTGCCCCATAAAACAAAATGGTATGTGTCGCCTCTTTTTTCTTAGCCCTGTCTCTCTCTCCAGTTGCTAGCGTCCCCCCTGGGGAACCAAACTGGGCTGAGCACCCAGGTGGCCTGTTTCCCAGCCTCTGACAGAGGGTGAGCTGAGTCAGGCAGGAAAGTGGGCCAGCCAGCATCTGGGCCCCCACCCTCTGTGAGCCCCACTCATACAGGATGGCTGGTGACTTGGAGGGGGCAGGTGACCTGGCATGGAGAGCCAGAGGGTAAGTCCTCAAACAAGTGGCAACAGGCCACCAACTTGAAAGGGAAAATTGTGCTGTGATGGGAAAGGTGTCCAACAAACCTACTGAGTGACTAATTACGACGGCTGGGCTGGAGCGTCAGAGGCTGCTCATTAAACACCTCATTAAGTGGCACCCTGAAAGCTGCCACCTGTGCACTCTGGGAGTTCAGAGGGGACAGGATCCTGAGGGAGAGTGAGGATGGGGGATGGAAACATTCCAAGAAGCTCGGATCACACTTCTAAATACATCCTGGAACTCACAAACCAGAGGGCTTGATGGAGCGAGAAGTCAAGGAAGTAGGATGCAGGGGACTTAGTGGCTGTGTGACCTTGAGCAAATCTCATCCCTCTCTGAGCCTTAGTATTCCTATCTCTAAAATGGGGTACCTAGTAGTCATAATCCTGCCCATCTCACAGAGACATCACAGGAATTAGATTGGATACTGGATACCAAGGTTGGGTAAATGGAGCCCTAGCTACACATGAGTCCTCTCACCTGAACCAAGGGGGGAACCTATCCAGCAGGAATAAGAACCCCATCCTCTAGAATGAAAAAAAAAGAACCCCATCCTCCTGCACTTGGCTTTATGGGGTCTGCCTAGGGTGAGGCAGCCTGGTGGCTGAGCCATCCTTAGCCCCTGGAAGGACATCGTGAAGGAGAATCTGAGTTGAGAAACTGGGGCAGCTACCTCATGTGGGCACCCATGTAATGGAAGCCCTGAACAAGAGGGGGCAGCTTGGAGCGTGGAAAGGTGCCTGTGCAGGTGGAGCCAACACCCAGATTTCTCCTGCTGACTGTCCCGATGACTCACCCCACATCCCGGCCCTTTTACCTTTAAGGAAGAGCCGGAAAGGGTGTGGGGAGGAGAGGAGAGGCGAGGCGGTAGGTCCAGAGCCTCAGTCCCGCCCTCTGCCCCTCCCCACCCCACCCTGCTCTGGGCCAGGCCATCCAGCCAAAAGGCAGGTAGCGATCTGGGGAAGCACAGAATCCTGCTTGGTCCCCAAGGCAGCCATTTAGCCTGCCGCCTGCCTGCCTGCCTGCCTGTCTGCCTGCCCCGAGCTGAGCCATGGAGAGAGCAAGTCTGATCCAGAAGGCCAAGTTAGCAGAGCAGGCCGAACGCTATGAGGACATGGCAGCCTTCATGAAGAGTGCTGTGGAGAAGGGCGAGGAGCTCTCCTGTGAAGAGCGAAACCTGCTGTCCGTGGCCTACAAGAACGTGGTGGGTGGCCAGCGGGCCGCCTGGAGGGTCCTGTCCAGTATCGAACAGAAAGGCCAGGAGGAGGGCTCGGAGGAGAAGGGCCCAGAGGTGGGAGAGTACCGGCAGAAGGTGGAGACTGAGCTCCGGGGCGTGTGCGACACCGTGCTTGGCCTGCTGGACTCCCACCTCATCAAGGAGGCCGGAGACGCCGAGAGCCGGGTCTTTTACCTGAAAATGAAGGGCGACTACTACCGCTATCTGGCCGAGGTGGCCACCGGCGATGACAAGAAGCGCATCATCGACTCTGCCCGGTCAGCCTACCAGGAGGCCATGGACATCAGCAAGAAGGAGATGCCGCCCACCAACCCCATCCGCCTGGGCCTGGCCCTGAACTTTTCCGTTTTCCACTATGAGATCGCAAATAGCCCCGAGGAGGCCATCTCACTGGCCAAGACCACCTTCGACGAGGCTATGGCTGACCTGCACACGCTCAGTGAGGACTCCTACAAGGACAGCACCCTCATCATGCAGCTGCTGCGAGACAACCTGACTCTGTGGACGGCCGACAACGCTGGGGAAGAAGGGGGCGAGGCACCCGAGGAGCCCCAGAGCTGAGCCATGCTGCTACCCTCCCTGCCCTGCCCTGCCCTGCCCGCTCCAGTCCCCCCCCACCCCCAGCAGAGAGGACTAGTATGGGGTGGGAGGCCCGACGCTCTCCCTGAATGCTCTGTCCCAGCTCAGCAAGGCTCCATGGAGAGGGATCGGCAGGGCTGAGGCCCCCTGGAGCCACTGGATCCCACTCTTCCTGATGCTGTTGGGTTCTCCTAACCACTGGTCATTCCACCCAGCCCTGCTCTCTGCGCCCCCTCCAGACCCTGCCCGTGAACCGGCCACTTCTGCCTCTTCCCCCATCTTGACCCCCTTCTGCCCCTGCTGCCTCTGGATCTTAGGAATTGAGGAGTGTCCCACCCAGTGACTGAGAACTGGACCGTATGGCAGAGGCTAGAGATGAGAGTGAGAGGTGTGTGTGTGTGTGTGTGTGTGTGTGTGTGTATGAGAGAGAGAGAGAGAGAGAGAGAGAGAGCGAGAGCGCACAGAATGAGAGGGAAAGCATGTCTGCTGGGTGTGACCATGTTTCCTCTCAATAAAATTCCCTTGTGTCAATTCCCCTTGTCTTTTTCAGTTATTGGCAGAGGGCTGGGACTGGGATTGGTGTATGATTTACAGAAAGCCTGACTTGGGACCTCTGATTTAGGGCCCGAACCTCCCATGGGGTTGGCTCAGCGACCCGTAGGCCAGACTTTGGGGCCGGTGACTCCTGGCGAGCGGCCAGGGGACAGGCTCCCCGCCACCGGGGCCCCAAACAAGCCGGTCTGGTCTCGGGAGGGTCGGATAGCGACAAGGCGGCTTCTCAGCTCTGAGGGGACGGGAATCAGTGAAGTCTCTGAGGTCGGAGCACAGCGCCGCCCGCCGGGATACGCAGTAGTGAGCAGCACTGAGCACCAGGTCTGAAAGCTCGGCGGTGGGGGAGGTGGGGGGTTGTCCCCCTTAGACGCGCAGATCTGAGGCGGGAATTCCGATCTGAGGCGGGGGCGTGACGCCGCCAGGAAAAGCCCAGCTCGGAAGCAAGGGGAACGCCCCCCAGCGTGCGCTGACGGGACCGAATGAGACGGGCTGGCGGAGAGGAGGCCGGTGGGGGGAGCGGAGGCCGGTGGGGGGAGCGGAGACGGTGCGGGGGGGAACGGAGACCAGTTGGGGGAGTTGAGGCCAGTGGGGGGAGTTGAGGCCGGTGGGGGGGAGTTGAGGCCGGTGGGGGGGAGTTGAGGCCGGTGGGGGGAGAGGAGGCCGGTCCCCGAAAGCCCACCCGCCACCTCAGTCCAGAAGCGGCACTCCGGGCTCGGCAGGCGCCCCCCTCGGTCCCGCCCTAACAGCCCGGGCTGGAGGCGGACCTGAGGTTGGTAGCGTCCAATCACGGGCGGGCGATGCTCGGATACTGGCCAATGAGAGCGCGAGCGGCGGCCGCGCGCTGCGGCGCGTCTTCCCGGCGGCCGCGGGCCGGGAGGGTTCGGAGCCGCCCCTGCGGGGCTGAGGCGCCCCCGCCGCCCGAACCCCAGGGCGGCGCGCTCCGGTTTCACTCAGACAAGTCGCTACCCGCCGGGCCGGAGAGCCGGGCTTCCGCGGAGCGGCGGGACGGGGCGGTGTGGAAAAAGCAGCCCCGCCCTTTGAGTCATCGCTTAACCCACGGCCCCCGCTGACAGACGGCTGGGAATAGGCCACCAAAGCGTCTCCGCCACGCACCAAAGTCCAGGCAGCCAGGCGGGTGGCGGGGAAACTTAGATTGTGTCCCAGACCTGGCTGTGCGACCTTGGAAAAGTCTTTTTATACCCCCCTGCGCCTCAGTTTTCCCTTCTGTGTCAAAGGGGCTGGAACTAAAGGCTCCCTAAGGAACACTGAGGAATCTGGGTTCTGGAGTCAAGCTGCCTGGGCCTGCCTCCCAGCCTGCCTCTGCCAAGGCTCTTACCTTGCTTACTTTTTGTGTCCTCATTTATAAAGTGGGGATTAAAAAACAGTGCCTTCCTCTTCTTAAGAATTGCTATTGCCCAAACGGGTTTGGCTCAGTGGATAGAGCGTCAGCCTGCAGACTGAAGGGTCCCGGGTTCAATTCCAGTCAAAGGCCAGTACATTGGTTGCGGGCACATCCCCAATGGGGGGTGTGCAGGAGGCAGCTGATCGATGTTTCTCTCTCATTGATGATTCTGGCTTTCTACCCCTCTTCCTTTCTCTCTATAAAAATTCAATAAAACATGTATTTTTAAAGAAGAGTTACTATGAAGTTTGAGAAAATAAATGCACTTAAAGTAGCTCATAGTGCATGTTACCTATTATCAATCCTTCTAGCATCAGTAGTCTAGGATTTACCCAGCATTTCTGTGCCAAAAGCAGAATCATCACCCTGGCAGGCTTGGCTCAGTGAATAGAGCATTGGCCTGTGGACTGAGGGTCCTGGGTTCGATTTTGGGCAAGGGCATATGCCCAGGTTGCAGGCTGGATCCCCAATAGGGGGCGTGCAGGAAGCAGCCGATCAATGATTCCCTCTCATCATTGATGTTTCTCTCTCCCTCTCCCTGCCTCTTTAAAAAATAATAATAATAATAATTATTATTTTTTTAAGCAGAATCATCAGACCCAGTTCTGAGGAGCAGCTGATCTGCATGCTCACTGGGCCACCCCAGGATGCTGGCCTGATTTCAAGTGGTCACTCCTCACCTGGCATGATTGGGGGAACTCAGTCCAGCCCCATCAGGTTCCCAGAGCCCAAGTTTGGCCACACCCATGAGACTCAAATTGAAGGGCTCTTATCAGGAGTAATTCTACAGGGGAAGTTGGCAAGACCACAGCGATGCCTTCTGAGCCCCTGTTTTCTCCCCTCCTTTCCTGGAAGTGTGTTGGATTTCCAAACCTGGCAGAAATTCTGGGCTAGAGCAAGTGACTCCCCCTCAGCTCTGAAAGTGACCCGGTTTCTCTTACCAGACAGGTTTGGTAACTTTCTCTTAAAGGGGTAGGTCCTGGGAAAGGAACCTCCTTTCTTTTCTCTCAGCCTCCCTACACCATTCATGGTTGCCCTATGGGGAAAGAAATGAGCATGTTGGTGTTGAAGGATTTCAGAAGTACATGGTGTGGCCCTAGCTGGTTTGGCTCAGTGGATAGAGCGTAGGCCTGCAGACTGAAGGGTCTCAAGTTTGATCCCGTCAAGTCAAGGGCACAAGCCCGGGTTTCGGGCTCGATCCCCAGTAGGGGGCATGCAGGGGACACTGGTCAATGATTCTCTCTCATCATTGATGTTTCTATTTCTTTCCCTCTTCCTTCCTCTCTGAAATCAATAAAATATACATTTTTAAAAGTATATGGTGTGGATTGCTCAGATGTGGAATCTCATTAACAAAATAAACTGATGAAAGGAGTGAATCCAGAGACATGGGGGCATGGACCAGAGGGTGGAATCTTAGAGGCAAGGCAGGGGAGGGAGGGGCGTGAGAGGTAATCAGCCAAAGACCTTATATGTATATATGTATAACCCATGGACGCAGACAATGGGGAGGTGAGGGCCTGGGGTGGGGGTGGGCTGGGCTGGAGGGGACAATGGTGGGTGAGGTGGGTGGGGGACGGGACATATGTAATACTTTCAACAATAAAGTTGTTTTTTAAGTATATGGTGTGGATTGGAACATCATCAAATCAGATGGCTACATGTAAGCTGGCTTAGGCATCAGATCATGAGGGTTCCAGACCTTTTTATTTTTGGCATATTTTTTATTTTAATCTCTGTAAAACTATTTATTTTTAATATATTTTATTGATTTTTTACAGAGAGAAAGAGAAAGGGACAGAGAGTTAGAAACATCGATGAGAGAATCATTGATCAGCTGCCCCCTGCACATCCTCTACTGGGGATGTACCGGCAACCAAGGTACATGCCCTTGACCAAAATCTAACCTGGGACTTTTCAGTCCACAGGCTGACGTTCTATTCACTGAGCCAAACCGGTTTTGGCTAAAACGTTATTTATTTCAGAGAGAGGGGAAGGGAGAGAGAGAAACATTGCATGAGACAATGCTCCAACTAACTGGGCCACACCGGCCAGAGGTCTGTAAAATTTTCTTGCTATTACCCAGAGTGGGGTTTCCGTCAGCATTTCCTGCCATCTTTCCCTGGCCTACATTGCTGTTTTAGAAATTTTAGTTCTACTGCTAATGGGTATAGAGTTTCCTTCGGAGTATGAAATGTTCTGAGCTTATTTATTTTAAGTTGATTTTAGAGAGAGAAACATCAATGTGTAGTTCCACTTATTTTTGCATTTATTGGTTGATTCTTGTATGTGCCCTGGCTGGGGATTGAACCTACGACCTTGATGTATCAGGATGACGCTAACCAAATGAGCTACGCAGCCAGGACAAAATGTTCTGTATTTAAACTGAGGTAATATTTGTACAATTTTGTGAACATATAAGACAATGAATTGTACACTTTAGAAGGCTAAAGTTTATAGTGTGTGAATTATAACTGTTTTAAAAATCTGTACCAGCAGGACCAGTTTGGCTCAGTGGATAGAGCTTCGGCCTGCGGACTGAAGTGTCCCAGGTTCAATTCCTATCAAGCACATGTACCTTGGGTTGTGGGCACATCCCCAGTAGAGAGTGTGCAGGAGGCAGCTGATCGATGTTTCTGACTCTCTATCCCTCTCCCTTCTTTGGAAAAAAAAAAATCAATAAAATATATATTTTTAAAAAGAATTTGATTGATATGGGGAAAATTTGCAACTTAAGATTTTCTAGGGAAGATACCTGCTCTTAATTGGCTCTGTAGATCCACAGGTGATGGAGGGCAAGGCATTGGGTTCAAAGTGCCTTCTCAGTACCAACCAGGCACCCTAGGGAGGCCAAGGGTTAGGCAGGCCCCTGTGGCTCCTTCTAGAAAGGCAAGATACTCCTATACACACATGTCCAAGGTATACATGTCCAGTGCCTTTGGGGGAAACCTGATTTCAGATGCTTTCACCAAGATTGTTCTGTCCAACAGTGCCCCACTCCTGTTTCTTCCTAGAGAACAGAGTACTG